AATCGGCCCACTCTGCTTAAAGTTAATAACTTCCATCTGAGTGGAATCTGGTCTTAATGCAGGGCATTTGCTGCGTGAAAATTAGGGTGTAAAAATGAAGAAAACAACTGCTGCTATCCCTTACCCTGGTAAATTTTTTAGGTGGTAAATAACAAGCTTTGGCAGGAGATGAGAAACGCGCGAAGGCTTTGTGGTAAACAGCACATTATTCCCTTCTCAAAAAGTAGCATACAAAAAGTAGCATACATCGCAGGTGAGATGTCTGGAGATGAAGGGAAGGATACATTCCTTGGTTAAGGAGTAACCCAGATAGGGCCTGATCCTCTAGAGTGGGAATCTGACGTCGATTAAGAAGGTAGTGGTGGCTGGGGACGCAGATCAGATAAAGGCTCTGTACCTGTCTCCCTCCCTAAACACAAATGACTGCCCTTGTCTCTAATAAAAGGGAAAAATTGACTTTGGAAAACACACCATGATAAAACTCCTTGGATAAAGTAGTGCACTGCCTGGGTGAGAGGGAAAGAAATCCTAGAAACTAAAAGTATAAAATGCTTATTTAATATCATTGCTATTAGCAGCATCAGATGGTAAACACAGGTAATATGCTTCAGCAGTGGGCTGGTAAATGCTTGTGGTACCTTTCCTTGTGGCAGTTTCCACTTTTATAAAGGAGAGGAAGAAACATTCTCAGTTAAAATATTATTCACTGATTCTTTCATCACACAGTTCATTATATTAAGCTGTAATTTCCTAAACATGTTGTGGGGTGGTATTATTGTTATACATACATCCTGAGTCTTGATAGCTATTTTGCATTAATGTATGATTTGGATTCTCAGTCTTTAGGGTAGAGAGAATGGGGCTTTTATCATCACCATAAATAAGGGGAGAGAAGAGATTTAAAAAACCTCTCATAAATAGGGATGGATCCAAAATCTAATGACATGCATGAAAATCCATTTTGGATCAGGCCCCCAGCAGAACACTGTGTTATATAACCAGCATTTTCTGAATATCTTCTATTGTTTGACAGCCTTGATTTCACACTGAACTTGGAGTTCATTTCCAAACAGAAGCTTTTTGTACAGAAACTTTTAATCATATCCCTTCGTGAACACACACATACCATCGAGGATATTGTCTTATTAAAGAGTTTAAGCCTAAAGGTGTATGCCTATTTTTAAAAGAAATTTTCTGATTGTAGATAACTGCTCAATTTGATTTAGTGTCCAATGATAGTGATGGGGTTGATAACTGAGCATTCATCGGTAATTCATCTTGTGCTAGTAGAAATTTACAGCAAAGCAGTGCTTTCCCAACACTGACAAGTCCTATTAATCTTCTTCAGACACATTTCAATAGGTGTCTCCATCTGTGCCCAACATCTAAACACTCTGGCATCACTGGGGACTTGGAGACACCTTCATTTCAGGTTACACCAGTGAAAATGTGATACTAGATTGTACTCTATTTTTAACCTAATTCTCTCTTTTCATTCAATTAGCCTTTCTTGCCTGCATTTTTCTACTCATGTGTAACATCCTTTTCCCAGGAAGAGCTTAAAAATGAGATTTAGTTACTTAAAGAGACAGAATCTGCCAGGGCAAGAGCAACCAAGATCTTAATACATAAAAGCAGAATAATAAAGCTCACTGACAGAGCGTGGAGACGGAATCGCCATCCACCAAACACCTCCTGCACAGCATTCCTGTCATATTCCCCTCCTGATGCACCTCTTGCAGGCACCGTTCAGTTAGGGCAGGTCTGAAACCAAACACCCCAAAAATTCAAAACAACCGCGCAGCGTTTGGGCGTCGAAACCCAAAACACCTCTGTTTGTTCACTCCGCACGGGGATCCCCACCATACATCGCCACTTCGCTTTACACGTACAGCTAATGCATGAACAAACACAGAGCAGTCAAATTACAGCAATAACATTTATGGGTGGATTATGCTCCAACTTCCTCGCTTATTATTAAAAGCGAGTGGATTGCGGAGCACATGGAAGAGGTAGGGTGCAAATGCAGGCGAATTTGCACTCGGAACCAAATGTTGTTTTTTCACTTTCAAAGCTGCGATGAGTTTGCGAGCAGACGCAGCACAGCTTTAAAGCTTACTCATTCAAAAATGTGTGTTTGGGTTCTCTTTTTTTTTTTTTTTTCCCCCTCCCCTCCTTACTCCATTTACTGTTCGCCTTTCAAAGCGGAGCAGATGCACACCATTTGGGTTTGGGTGGCTCCTACTTGCTCTGAACTTTCTTCTGAAAAGAGCAAACCGTGAGCCGTGCGTCTGCTCCGCGACTCGGAGGCAGCTTCAAACTTTGTTTCTGGCTTTATGAAGTTCTCTCGTGAGTCGTATTATAGATCTAAATGACCTTATTGTAGGTGGCAAGTTTAAATGTGCCATATTAATAACTTGTTATCCAAGACAAATTAAGTCCTTATGTGTCAAAAGCACTCTGCTCTGGATTACCTACAAGACAAGTATTTATTGAATAAACGTTGGATCCAATTTCATTTTAATGTGACTGACTGTATGCTGCAGCCCCTTAGAATGAGATAAAAATGCTCAAACCTACAACTGTGTTGCAACATTACACCTAACTTGTCTATTTCTATTATTGTCTTTTTGATGTGGGATATCAAAAGTGTTTGGGGGTTTTAAGGATTTATTATTATTATTGTTATTATTTTTTTTCTGAAGAGCAAGGAGAGAGATAGAAAAAAAGACTGGCATTCAGCCTAAAGAGAAATCATTGAAACAAATTAATCCTATGCCGTTTAAATTGACATGGTAATCCATCATCAGCAAAGGGAAACTCTGAAAGCAATCTAGAATCTGCAGTGTTCTTTCACTGGCCCTCAGGCACAAAGACAGACAGTAAAAGAGGAAGGGGAAGAAAAAAAATCATAAAAGTTAGCAGCACCTTAGCAAAGGGAAGGGCTGAGAGAGCAGCTTTCACTTTTTCCTGCTTTCAAGCATCCAGCTCGGGAAAGCAGCGCTGATTAACCTCCAGCCATTCCCCACGAACGTTTACTCGTGTGTGTCAGATCATCTTCGGCTGCGGAGATATGAGTAATTTCAAATAGTGCAGAGCCCCCATCCTGTATAAACTCCACCACTGAAAACTCTGCCAAACGTCAACTTGGGCATTTCTGCTTACAGAGGGCCTTTTATTAGCCTAAACTTGATCATTCCAAATGGACAATAAATTCTATCTTCACAGCCCTGGAGAAAAGAGCTGTACTATCCTTGGGAGTTTAATAGCCAGGATTTTCATAGAGCTAGCATGAAAAAAACTGGGGGGGTTTATTTGGATTTGGGCTTGGGGTATTTTTTTTGTCTATCCCCTGCTTTCTCAGTGGGGCTATCCACTATAATATATGTTTCCCAAGAGATTTTTCAAACTAGTTTTAAATATCTAAAGTGATGAGACTTGGTGCACCTTTAAAATTTTATTAGGCTTATGGTCAGAAGAAAACATAAACCTCTTGGGCCTTGAAAGCCCATTGCAATACAGCCATTATCCCTATAATGTCAATAGAGCTACAAAATTCTCTAGAAATAAACCTTTTAGAACAGCTTTCCCTGCTTCATGTTTTCTTTTAAGGTCAGTGGTGCATCACTTTTTTGGAAAACGTTTCCCCTCTCTGGCCAGGTTTAGCAATGTGAAATAGAATGTATATTACTAAATGAATAGGTTTAATTTTAGACACTGAAAAAATAAATAGAAGAAGAGAGCGAGGGCAGGAATAATACCTTTCAGTTAGAAACAGACATAGTAGAAAGAAAAAGTCAGAACTTTAGTGCCAGGGGCAAAGGGGTGAAAGGCTGGCTAATATGAACCATATCCAACATCTGCCCTATTTTAATTTAGCAGGGATAAAGTTTCTTCTTTTTTATTATTAAGAAAACTTTATGTGGCAGAGAAACCCATGAGCTATGTTATCAAAACTGTTTTATTGTCACACTGAAACTTAGAACTATCAAGAATTGGTGGGGCAAAGAGATAAAAACTCCCCTTCTCTCTCCTTTTATACTCTGTGACAAGCCTGGGCTCAGGTCCTGCTGACTTGGGTGTCCTTTTCATGTCTTTATGAAGTACTGCACTTGGGGCTGTAGTATAAAGGGGAGGTTAATTGTTCAGGATGGGTCCAAATGATTGATTCTCCAGGTTAAAAAAAAAAAAATTAAATAAAAAAA